AGTCATTTATCGGCTGCTTCAACTATCCGTTCGGCTCTGCGTGCGCAACGTGTCGCTTTGCGCAACGCGACCAGCGGTTTGCACTCACTGACTGCTCGTTTTCCGCGAGTCAAACAGCTGATCGGGAAGATCGAATGGCGTCAACGCAAAGATTCCATTGTACTCNTGTACTCGGTTTTGTGATCGCCTGTTGTATTGCATTCCTCGTCATCTACAAATTATCCTGATCCTCATTGTGCACACACACACACACACTCACTGTGTTCGGCTGTTGGATTTATGGTTTCCAGGAATTGTTTTTTGGGCCTCATCATTCAAAGTTTCCGGCACAGTCGATTCCTCGTTTCCATTTGCTTTTCTGTCCCATTATTTGCCCCCGGTACGCGCCTGTGCCATTGTGTATGTGTGTGTGTGTGCGTGCTTGAGCTCAGCCCAACAGCCTGTCAAATTGCACGTCCAATTCTGTATAGTCCCGGGCCGGAATTGTGCATCCTTTCATAACAGTCCTGGATCGAACCGGTCCCGAGGTTTTATTGTTCATTTCACTTCTCACTTACCCAAACTCGTCTTTTGTTTTTTCTGGATCTATCAGCCTGTCAAATCGCGGTCCATGTCATCGGCATGGTCTCTCTGTCTCTGTCTTTATTCTCGCTCACAGAGTCCGTATTATTTCTCTTTCGCACCTATCCCGTTCAAACTGTGATTCGATTCGCTTCCGTCCTTGTTGCCGGCCCCATTGAAACTGCACAAAATTCGCAACCGAACAACAGTACAATTGCATGTCTTTCAGCGAGCTCACTAATTTTGTTCAATTTCACGCCTCGTTTTTCACCTCTACTCCTGATTTGTTGAATACGTCTGATGATGATGATGATGATAGTGATGCTGTGTTGTTGATACTGACAAATAACTACCCGGTTTTTTTGTTGTTGTTGACGTGCGTCTTCGCTTGGTGGTGCTTTGATAGGCCTACCAACCCCCTTCCCCATCCTTCTCGTCCAGCGGAATCCGACCGATTGGTCGATGGTGACACTTAGGAGTTTTCCACATACTATTTCCGCTTACATTCGGTGCATATTTTTCCTCTGTGTGAATCAGTTTCATCTTTACCAACACGCTCAGATGGCGCACTGTTCGCCTTCTCTCCCTTTGGACTTTCTTTTGTTTCGAATAATGTACTATGTGAAACGCGAACATTCAAGCAATTTTCCTTTGTTTCTCCCGTTCCTTCTCTGGTTCCATACTCGGGACACGATCCCCGTGTCGCATGCTGTGCTTCCCATTTGATAATGGTCGTTCTCAAAGGCAGCGATACAGATTGCCTATCACCAGTGTATTGTGCTCTTGGTAATCCGCGATCGATCAGACTTTCTTGCTCTTGCGGTAAGTATGGTATTAAGGTATCGTTACTGCTACTGTGTGCCTCCGGAAAAATTAGTTCTCGTTAGGTTAGAACCTCGGTGACCGATTAATGATTTTCTACTACAGCTCTTTATCATGATTGCAGTGTGTTCATTCCCTTTGGAATAGTTCCATTTGTTTCCACCATCATCAGAAGAGGTCTGATTTGGTCTTCTGAACACGTTTGTTATCGGTGCTTCCGGCTCACATCGAAATCCGTGAATAAAAAGGATTCTGTGTGCGGAAACAGTCGGTGCTTGTGTGTGTCTTCGTCGTTCGTTACCTGAGGGTAGTGGAGGATTTGATTCAACTGCATAGTTGATTTCGTCGTGTAGATAGCAAATGAAGCATGAACTGATTTTGTTCGGTCAGTTACTGATGTAAACCGTCGTCCGAAAAAGATGAAAACATTGTCACTTTTCGATGAAAAATATACGGAGATTCATGATGTAGGTACTGATATCACTGCTTCTCCTAGAGCCAGAAAACAATTAATTTCTTTTGGAGTTGATAAAATTAGAGTGATCAAACGGGGTTTGGTAGATACAAGTATGTTCTCTATATATAACTACTGTATCAAGCAAATAAGAAATCGAGCCGCGTTCGGTGTCCATCCACCATATCAACTCAGCCGATAGATCACTTTAATTCGAACCTTAAGACCTTCAATGTTCACTGAACTGGTCGGGACTGAAGCAGCCTACCAGCAATGTTTTGTGTCGGTGGTGGGTTTCGAACCCCAGATCCCAAGGACCAAAGCACGCTTTAGACGGACTTGACTGTTTGAACACCCACGCATAGGGACATGAACCGCGCTCCGATAAGAGCCTATTTTTGACCGATTCGTACAGAACCACGTTTAACCTGCCTCTGGGAACCGAAATCCTCAGTTTACCGTATGTGAAAGCGACAGTTCTGTTTTTGAATGATCACGCGATACATCTCAGCTTCTGCTGGACGCGTTGAACTATTCATATGATTACAAATATAAAACCACGCGCGAATACCAGCTGAGTCAGAGCCGGTGCAACAATCACCATAGGTGGTGAGCAAGCGGATAAGTTACGATCATTTGTAACATTTATAATATTTTAATCTGGAGTTCATGAAAAAGAAACGTGTGAGATATCTGAAGCACCTAACAGTACACTCCACTTTAAAAGTGCCTTCTCGATCTGTTGGCGGAGCGTTTGACTCTCCTCTGTCGCCAATAAATATCGAAAGCATGCTACCATTTTCAAATGGCACTTTTCCTGCACGGATACACCAGTTCAAGATCTCCAAGGCCCCAAAATCCTCAGATTCCGAAAAACCCATATCGCTCTCTTCCGTTTGAACCGCTGCAGATACATTCAAGATTTGAAAATAACCATCGACATACAGGTTTAACCCAACTCGAGCGCACACAATCTCCTTCCGATTCGTGTATCCGTCCACTGACTACTGCACACTCAGTTGTATGATGTTCCGGGGTGGCCACTGTTAACCAGTGTCTGTCTCCGGTGACGGTTACCGAACAACACGCTAGTTCCTCTGGGGCCCAGAACTGAAATCGCAATCGGGTGTTATGTTTAGTGCGCATAAGCACACGCGGGTGAACGCAATGGCTTGCTGATCAANCTGATCAATGACCACTTGACTGGATACATTCCGATTGGTCCGTCATCGTTTTGCCGTCGCTCCTGACCGCTCACTTCCAAGCTTCTCCTTATTGAGTTCCAACTTAGTCACTTTTTTTTACAGCTTGCACCGATTACATTCCTTTAACCTGACACTCGACTGTCCGATCACCCACCGGCTTATAATAATCGTGGCAATTTTACCTGTTATCCACGCATTTTGCTAATGACACTCCTACTGTACGCAGTCGAAGTGGACTGAATGTTCCACAGCTTCAAGGCGTCGATTCTTGTTCGCACTAACTGGATCAGTCGATCTTTAAACGAACGCGGTCGAACCCCATGCTTACGTAACCCGTAATAGAGAACAGGAAAAAGAATCTTTGATGTTTCATTGTCACAGGAGATTATCAAGTCTAATTGCGGCTAGTTTTTATCATCGACTGTAGAACTCTCCGATTGATCGTGTCACCAAACCGTCATGTTGACGGCACTTAATGATTCAAGCTTGAAGTATGTAGAAACCGATTAACTACACCTGGATTGATTTGAGTGTGATAGTGCGTTCAGGTGGCAACGGATGCAGTGGACATGCTCTCATACGATCAGCGAGTGCTGTTTGATTAAAGATCACCGCAACGAAAATACCATCAGAGATTGGCTGTGTGAAATAATCCCCATAACAGAAGGAGATGTGTGCACTGAAGGTCATGTGAACGAAAAATAGTATGATCATGTGAGAACCTTGAGCAGCCATTGTAAATTAATGGCTAGTAGTTATACGACATCTTTCCAGGACACAAACACTGTGGATCACATCGATTACATTCATATCTGTTAATGAACATCGGATTTTGAAGTACAGTCAAGCATTTTCTTGCTCAATGATGAATGAGTCCTATTAAAATGTATATGAGGCTGTTGAACTTCTCTTTCTTTTTATTACACACCATCGTGCGGTGAACAACAGACTGGGCGAACCCCATAGTCACAAAGACCTGCTGTTCCGTCTCGGAAACCGGTAACCTAAGCCCCGGGACTTGGAGAGGCGAATCACATAAGGCCCCGCAGTAGGTAAGCGTGGTCAAAGATTGTTTAGGTTAATAAGTCTAGGTTCCGAATAATCTCCCTTCTCGATCTGGTTTATTTGACCAAAATCAGTTTATTAGATCATTGAGTTGGCCTTGTTTTTATCTCCCGGTAATCCATTCGATATTTCATGTTTCCCAAGAGCACGTTCGACGAGCATCATAAACTGGATCCAATTTGATCCATTATGACCAATTATGTTCGCCTCTCCTCCAACACCAATTTTGATCAATAAAATATGGCTGTTGCTTTCCATCAGTACCCTACCCCCACCCCCTTGATTAAACATTGCAAAGAAGCTGCCAGAGAGCATTCACTTGTTATTTCCCTCCCATGTTTATTTTAGTTGATTTACCTTCAACTTATTGATCACATTTAAAATACAAACGATGGTTCCTGCATTTATTAGCCCACGTTCCTTGGGACTGTTACAATGGACAATTCCAAATACACTTTGGTGAACAATATTGCATGGTTTGCTCACTATCAAACAAACCTGTTTCTTTATTTATTTATTTATTACCCCCAACTCCTTTCTCTTTTTTGAGTTTTGACAAAAATAGCCATCCTGCTAATTTCACTTGTCTATTGACAGACCGAATAGTCTGACGGAACCGATTTTGTGACTACTTAATTTGCTCTTCTCTTTTTCAAGTGTGTATTTAATCATTCATGTACCCTCTCTCTTATATGTGCTGCTCAAACCTTTGTGGTTAGTTATTTGGGTAAAATGGGATCTCAGTTACCTGTAGAGGTTTCCATGGTTAGTCTGACGAAAATGACTATCATCCTGGGCACTTGAATCATATACCGATTTAGCATCTGAGATGGTTGCGATTCCTTGTGTACAAACATCGAGAGTAGTTAATAAGGCCGTTTGTCGGGTTACCGTTTAATAAGCCCCGTTAACTTCGTCTAATGTGAGAAAAACTGACAGGGTATGTGTCACCATTGGTCCTTTGTGATAAACCCATTCCGATTGGTTTGCCAATGTGGGGCAAATTCCTTGCACAAGGAAGGTAAGTGAATACACCTGGAATATCCAGGTTCGACTTCCTTTTCGCTCACGATCCA